ATGTACATAGCTAGAGACACGGCTTTTATAGGTCATGGCAGTAACCTTTTGTCAGCGTTTTGTGACCAGAAATCGCAATCGTCAGCGGAGTCTCCGCGCAAACAGTAGCATACCACAAATCTAATAGCAGACAAACTTTCGAATTGTCACCATTTCTTAGAGATGAAGTGGGTACAGGGGAATTTTGTTATGTCTAATTCAATTTTCACTAAACGTTTATGGACAGGGAATGATCTATCAGAAACTATTATCTCATAATTATAGTATTTTATTATCAAAAATTTCATATGGGGCTACACAAAGCGAGTGATGACGCAATTGCGGTAGCAAGGTGTAAATGTGTAAATTATGCTAATTGGAGGAAAGTGATATTTCAAGATTGTGACTATTTTTCAGGAATAAAATTTGATGGGTAATGAAAAGTGGAAACTACTTTCATTACCCATCAATATTAATATCAAGAATATTCAGTTAGGTAGAAAATATTTACAATTAATTAAAGGGACTTTATCTCATACGTTTATTATCTATTCATATTAATTATCATGAACCATAACGTAAGCTCGTGTACATAAAACTAATGAGAATCTTTTAAATAATGTCTGCAGATGAGTGGCCATCCGACAGCAATGACCATGCACTGATTAAGTTTGTTTGTTACTAGTCAAACTCTGCAGCAAATCGTTATTGAAAGCAAATCACTTATAGTTGACTATAAACGTCGCACTGAATGAAATTCTCATCAATTGGATTTGCAGCAAATACACTGATAACTCACAAATTTCACCAAATTTATAAATGGTTGTAACTACCACAGGGATTTTCTTTAAACCCCTTATCAATAGCGATGTTGTTGTTTTAATTTTCTTTTGGAATCGATGCAGATTATGTAGTTGTTTGCTGTTTGCTTCAACTTTTCGTGTCGGCACATCTCGATGTTTGCATCCAGGAAAATATAATCAACAACTAGAAGTGCTAGAATTTGACATATCAATGTAAAACAGCAGCTTTGATAGGTAACCACAGCAGTAACACATTAACTTGGCAGAGTGCATTGAAAAATTCATAATTTCCTTCCATAGATGATTATCAGATCATATGCATAAACTCTGCCATCGAAAAGAATCAAAGTCTAGACTAAGGCCTGTATTTTATTAATTTAACAATTTATAAAGCACATAGAGTATGTAAGTGAATCTGCTGGCAGAGCTACAGCACAAAAGTATAATTCCATTTCAAATAAACAGTCTGCGCAAGGAAGAGAATGGTGAGAAATCCAATAATGTTTAGAACGGCTTGCCACTAATTTTCTGTCGAACGTCGACATCGCGTGTCCTATCCAAAATGTACAAATGACAGTGAAATGTGATGGCTAATGTTCATAGATTGTTCTCAGCGAATTAATGAAGTATACCTATTGCCCTGATTTAATACTTCACGCCCTTGCGTGGAATTACGTTTTGAAGTGTAACAATAAAAAGAATTCCCTAATAGTGCTATGAACTTTCTGCGTGCTATTTTATCCTAGAGATTCAAGTAAACTACCTATTAAACCATCGAAACTTCATTAATTTTAGGAAAGCGAGAATACATTTTGTGAACAGTCAACGAGTTTTCTCCTTTAATAGCGTCCGTTCTTGCCATAAACAAATGTACAATGATTTGTTGCCCACTTCTTGTTTGAAGTTGGTCTGGCGGAAAAAATAAGCTTGAACAAAGATCTTAGTGCAACTATTTTTCTTTTTTACTTTTTCTGTAGTGTCGATTCGAGTTTCTTACTGACAACGTGAGCTTATCGGTATGCTTCAGATCTCGTCGACTTGATGCAAAGCTCTTTTTGAAATGACCATAGATACCGAAAAAAAGATAGTGAAAGCTGCTGGATAAAGTCCCTGTTCTAGCCGGTGCTTAACTGAGCATTTGCCTTCTTATTTGCTTTCTTATTTGCTTTCTTGTAAATAAAGCATTAATAGGAGCCAATTAAAGGCAAAATA